AGACCACTGAGCACAGAGCTGACAGTAACCTCACCAAGCACTCACTAAAACACATTAATCCTATAACAACTATACACAACATACAATATATAATAACACACCCTTTTAGAGTTTTACAATGTAATAGGCATTAAAACACATCATGCTAGAGATTCATTGTGTTTTAAATCTCCTCAAGGACAGCATCTGATTAAAAACTATAAATAAAGACAATAAACACGATCATTCTCAATATTGTTCAAAACATTACTAGCAATAGAGTATTTGTAGGGCCTGTTTACTCACATGCTGCACGGAAGCACACATTTGATCCACTTAACTTGAGCATTTCCACTTGCACTTAAACTTCTACTCCACTGCATTTTATTGTGAAATATTGTAGTTTTCACATTTGCTGTACAGCTCTGTACACGTTTGCTTTGGTAAGTTTTTGAATGCAGGACTTATATTGGAGTGGTTTGACATCATGGTATTGTACCCCTCCTCGTTTGGCTCAATTCAAAGTAAATAGGCCACTCTTTGTTTGTAGTTATTTTTGCTTCAATTCACAAGATGGCAGTGTTGAGTTGATCAGATGATTGCATCAAAAGTCTCATTACCGTATCACTTCAGATCACCCACCAGGTGATTGCTGCACATCACATAGATGTCAGGTCTTGTGTACTCTTCATCTCCAGCGTGACATAGTGCTGAAGCACAGTGCAGATCTCACCTCTTATCATTCACTGTAAGTTTGCTGCGTTGCATTGCCACCTCAAACGTCAGCGATGTTTCCGCGTTCTTTGGGGAAGTTGATCTTTGGACAGAAAGGATATTGTCTACAGCGCTATAACAAAATCACGTGCCTCTAAACCCTCCACGGCTTCATCACACAGATCTCGTATTCGTTACTTAAAGGCGTCACGGTTCAGTTATGGTTGCGCCACCTTTATGATAGCGTATCTGCAGTTTGCGCCGATTATTGTGCGCTCGCTCCTCGCGGCTTTTAAAGTCTGAAAATGAGCGATCAGAGAAGAAAAACGTTCAAAACAATCCTTCAGTTTACGTGTCAACTTTTGTGGGTATGTAAGGCTTTATATTGTTTTTGTATACTGCCACTAATAATTATATTATCTATACATATTTGTTGATAAGTTACCATTAATTTGTCTTATGTGTTTATTATCATATAAAAACAAAAGACAGAAGTGTGTGTAGCCTAATGCATTGACCTATAATCTACTGTAGCCTACATGTAGGCTATTTGATTGTCTCACATGTCAGATGTCACATGACATAAGAGTGCGTGTGTGCACGTGTCTTTTTGTAAAGACACAAGAACTAAGTAGAAGTAGAGGAGTTGGTAAAACACACTTTTCACTCTGCCGTATTTCTCTGACATAATTTATGTTAGAATATTCTAAACTGCAGCAAATGAAAGGTTAAGGCCTAAGCTATAATAATATGTTTTAATACATCAATGTTTTCTAAAATTATGTTATTTGTAATTAAAGTCATGTTGTTTATTTATGCCAGACCCATTAGAGGATCGGCACATATTATGGAGTTGGTTGGCACAATGGTAAAATGCTCTACTTCCAAAAAAATAAAGCAACCAATAGAAACATTTTGGACATTTATTTGAAACAAGAACCAGAAAACCTGCACATTTAAAAAAATATCCGATTTATATAACCCAACAGCATTTTTAAGCAATTCAAAATGCCTAGTTACTTTTGCCATTGGCAATTCAAAATAATAATAAATTAAAATGTAAACATTATTTTTACTTTTTGTTTTTACTTTTTGTTACTTCATTTCATAACTGTATTGTATTTTTACTCTATTGGGCTATGTTTATCTATTTTTATTTTTTTATAATATCTATATTATTTGATTCTCTATTATAATAATGTAATAGTTAAGTGGTGATTAGGATTTTTGGATAAAGCTCATAACATTATTACAAAAAATAACAGAGCATACACAGCTTGAGTGCAGTAACAGGAACCAGCTCTCTCGTGAATTAATTGTATCCTCATTTTTAAATCATGTACAGAGCAACAGCTCTGTAGACACGAGTTCCCCAAGCGCTGCCAGTAAGAGTGTGGTATTGATCATCTCATGCACTCCCAACTCGAAAAAAAAAGCATATTTACCCAATGGTCCAATTATTCCCTTATCCCTCATAAAAAGAATGCAGCTACGTCAAATGGGGGGATGATGGTGGTCCTTGAGAGCTTATGTTGTTGATGTCTCACAAAGCCCTCTCGAAATATTCTGTCTGAATTCATTCTTTTTATTTACCAGGTGGTGGGGTTGGTGGTGGGCCTGAGTGGATTCTACCTGCTGAAGAACTTGAGAGAGAACAGCTTATTTTTCTCTCACAGCTACATCACCCTACCAGCTATCCTCGCTCTCACCAGCGCTGCGTTTTTAATGGCCAGCGGGTTCCTGGGCTCCTGGCTGAGCCTCAGGGATTCCACCTTTCTGCAGGGACTGGTAAGTTTGGGCATATGTGTGAGTGTGGGAATCTGTGCGTGCATCACTGTTTGGACTGTTCATAATAAAGTGTTTTCTTCTCCAGTTTGTTTATCTGCTGGTTATGGTCCTTTGTCTGGAATGTACGGCTTCAGCGTTGGCTTACTTTCACTCTACAAAGGTATAAAAGTTACACAAAAAAATCAAGTGCTTTCACGACACTGCAGACTGGAATAATTGCACGTTTACATTCTTCATGTCCACTGTCTTTTTGTTTAGCTGGATTCAGAGATAGCTCCCCTCAGTGGAGTGTTTCAGAATTACACAGGCAGCAGAGAGGACCCAAACTCTCGAGCTGTGGATGCTACACAAGAAGAGGTGTGTGTTCAGCCATAACTGTCGTAGAAGCATCCAAATACTGCAAACGTGTTCATATCTGGTGTACAAAATGATGTAGCAAGTCTACTATGAAAAGTATCCAAAGCAGCAGCATGTACCTGAATACCAGGCTACACCATATCCAAAACATGAATAGAAGCAGCAAGAACTGTAGATGCACACTTTGTCTAATGGCAACTAGATGCTGAGTTTTTGTTTTTCCATTAAGAGGGATATTTCAGCTTACAGAAGAGTACATTTGGGCAGACCCTTAGGTATTTGTCTTGTTTACTGTGATATTTGACTCTCATTTGGTCCTCCTCTTCTCCACAAAATCATCTATTCAAAAACTGTGCCGTTACAATAACCCCTGATCAACCAATGATCTATTTTCAGAATTACATTTTTGTCTTTTGATTCCCGTTAGTTGCAGTGTTGTGGGGTCCATGACTACAGGGACTGGCTAAAAACCTCGTGGTTCAACCAAACAGGAGAACCCTGTGTTCCTCACAGCTGCTGCAACTCTACATTCCCCTCCTGCAATGGGGCTGTGGACCAACCGTGGCAGCTTTACCCACAGGTAGACATGTGCATCCAGATAAAATCAACACTCATAAGAAAAAGCATGAACGTCTGATTGGACCCCTCTGTTTTTGCTGTTTTTCTCTTTCAGGGCTGCCAGGTGAAGCTGGCGATGAGCTTCCGGTTTGTGCTGAGTTTTATCATCTGGGGCTCCCCAGTGGTTTTTCTGGTGGAGGTGCGAAGGACTTCGTAACATTTTAGCTCACAATGACAGTGTGTTGTGTGAAACGTGCGAGTGAGAAAACACTTCTGACACACTTACAGTCTAGACGGGGGGGGGGTCAAAGCGATTTAAGTGCACCTTTGTAATTACCGAATAAAGTAGCAACAGTAGCCTATTGACACACCCAGTATATAGAAAACTATGGCTGCAACTAATGATTATATTCATTATTCATGAATGTGGCAATTATTTCTTCACAAGTGACTTCTTTCCCATAACGCATAGCTATTTGAGTCATTGGTAAAAATACAAATATTGATTAGTGCTGTACGAATTCAGCATGAAGTTGTTTCCAACAAAACATCTGCACATTCTAAACATCATAGGCATTGTCATGCTCTTCGTTTGTTGGGTACTCCATATGAACAGAGTTTGGGAAGTACTGTCCTCGACATAAAATCCCTTCTTGGACTGCTGGTGGCCAGAATTGTTGCATTTCACTGGGCTTTTCATCACAAATCATAATTGTGTATACATTTTGATTAATTCCACACTGCACTGACTGTTGTGTGTATGTCATTGTTTAATTTGGCTGTTAACCAGAGTACTATTTTCTCTTTTTTTCCTCTTGTCATGCAGATCATTTTGTTCCTGACAGTAGCACAGCTGATGAGGGACTATCCGGATTATCAAGTACTGGACAAAAAGTAAAGACACTGTGACAGATGGGACAGCATTGTACTTTGAAAAGATACAACTAGTACAGCGTGTCATATTGTAATGTCGAAATGTGCATAAAATTGTTGTTGGGATTGCTGTTAGAATAATTATTGCTGAGCTGCACACCTTTCACCTGCTGAATAATAATACAGGTTTACTCCTGTTCACTACAAAACATGTGACATCAAAGTGGTGAAATATAGTTTGTGCAATGTGGTTGTTGGTATTTCTGACACCAAAAAGATTACAATGGTTTACGCAAAGCTTTTTATGGCTTTAGATATACTGTTGCACCTTTCAGTCTATGTATTTGTTGACTAAACGTGTCGTATGACCCTGCTGAGTGGAAATAATCAGTTATGAGTGATGTTTCACGTCTTCTGTTTGGTGACTATGATGTGTTGCCATCAGGTTGAAGGTATACAGGCCTTTTTTTGCCTTCCTGTATCTTTCATACACTCCATAGCTCTGTTAAACATATCATGATATGTGATCTGATGGTTTGTGTCTGGATATGTAGTAAGGTAACATTGTTTCTTGAATATCGGTGTGTTATTATTGTATACAGAGCACTTCTTTTTACTGTCTCTATGTGTAATTTTATAATTGTCTAAAATTGACACACTTCGGAAGGTACAGTAAACTAAACTTAATTTCCTTGCACTTTGCTGTTTACTTTACATACAACTTACACTTGTTTTGCATAGTTCATGATCTGAATTATTGTACCTTGTATGTACCAAATTTCACGCTTTGTTCTGTATCCTGCACCCTCTGCTATGTACTTTTATTGTTCTTGTACGTATTTGTATGTATTTGTCTTATATGGACCCTGAGTCTGAAATAAAGTTTAATTGATTGATTGATGAATGTGAAAAATACAGAAATCCCCATTAAGCATTTTCATAACAACTAACAAGGACATTTATATATATATTAACATTAATTCACAGATGATGACAGATGATTTTCCCTATAGAGAGCAAAACAAAACAAAGAGAGCATCATGATAAACTCTATCAGTATTTTATGGGCAGTATTTATGTTGCAGAAAGCCTTTTTTCAATGTCGGCCAACAACACAATGTGAAGAAGACCAGAAGTTTGTTGCAGGAAATGTAACATATAACAATTTCCGATGATATGTCTGTTTTTGCACGGTGTGTATTCCAACAAACCAGGGGCAATTTTTCAATAAAAGTGTATTCATAAAAATTAATAGCATATTCCATAGGGAGTGATTGATATTCTATTTCTAAATTAACTGAATATATGACAGCAACACGCCGTTAAGCTCCACTGAAGGAGTGCATGTTGACTGTGGAGGATGGACACGCTGTCTATTCTGCAGAGGCGTGGCTGGACGCGAGTGGGCGTGGTGGGCTTTGTCACGCAGCTTCTTCCTCGATTTCTTTACTACGTGAGGCTGATTTGGAGGAAAGTGAACGTCGCCCAGAAAGGACAAAATAGCAGAAGGGAGCAGAGACAACGACAACCCCTCAAAAGCTGGTAATGCTTAAAATGTTGATGCATATTTCGATGTGTGCTGGTTAGTTTAAAATGCGAATGACTGTCATGCCGCTCTCTCTCTCGCGGGCCTTTGGAGCCGTTGGTTAGCTTAGCGGTGGCTAATGTTAGCCTCCGTGGCCTGTTAGCAGGCCGTTGGGGTTTAGGCGCGGGGACATGGATGTATTAATCCGACGTTCTCCAAAATAGGGCCACGGTGCTTTACGTTAGCTAACTGGCAAGACACTGCCACGTAATGTATCCATTAAGCGACACAATTGGTGTTTTCATCTGTATGCAACGTAGTGCCGACTAGTGATAATGAGCCCTGTTTTTGTCGGAACCTGGTTGGACATGGAGGACACTTTACCCTTTTCATTAGAGGAGGGAGCGAGCTTGTAGCCGGCTAGCTCGCGTATGCTAGCAACGCTAAACGGGCCTCTGCACGTTTCACGGGTTGGAGATCAACTCGTGAGATTGCCTTTGCCCTTGACGGGTAATACAATACAGAATTGCATCAACTGTTGTGCAATATGTGACGTTAACCTAGCGGCACCGTTGCCCGTGTGCACCACCGTTAAGTACCGTTACTTGACTAATGTCCGCCGGTATTCTGGAAGCTTCAGCTGCTGCCTCAGTGCAACATTAAGGTTGCTCATCCAGACACAGCAGGGCCAAGATGTGAGACCCAAGATGTTTTCACTGCAGTTATTCACTCGGAATACATTCCGTCCATAGTTTGACCTACAACCCTCGTGCCACAGCTCCAATCTGACACGCCTCTTTCAAATGGATATTTAACAATATAATGGTACACTAGGCCACTTTCCCACTAGGGGGACTGGTGCTGATTACTTAAAAAGGTAACAATTTTTGATATAAATATTTTTTTTTTTTTTTTTTTTTTTTTTTTTTTTTTCCTCCTGTTTGTCAATGCTTTGTTTCATTGGGAGGTTCCCTTTCTTTGTTAACCATTATCACACTGTTGTTAGGCAACATTAGCATAATTTGGTACAACCTTAGAGAACTGTACACAGCAAGTAAACAGGTGGATACTCTGCTTTTGGCATTGCTGGAGATGTGTGTGAGAGGAAGTGGCTCTGTTTATGAAGCGCATGATACATACTATAGCTACATTCCAAGAAAAGTCAATACTGCAGATTGTACCAGCATTAGCTGTTCACATGCTGACTAATTTCATGATACACAGTTCATCTATTACAAAGAAATGCAGTAGCAGTTACCAACAGATGTGGCGCGTAACTGCAGCAAGAGGGTAAACCACAATTTCAGGCCAGGATACTCAGAAACTAGGGTCACGGTTCGGTACTTTTTCCGGCACAATGGGGTAAACAAAGCAAATGCAGAAAATAACATTCAACGGTTGCTTATTGGCCATAATTCTTACTTATTCAAATACTATCTACTTGACATATTTTCAATAATAAACATAAGTATTTCTAATTCTGCAATACTCCATCATAAGATGTTTACTGACATAAATGCACATGTGGACTCAACATTGTATCGGGGCTCAAGTACTTTAACCATATGATTTAAATCTGTATTGTCTATGATATAGTGTGGTTGCATATACACAGCGATACTTCATAGCATTAGATACTATAGCTCGGTCTGAATCTGCAGTGGGATGTGCCCTGAAGGCTGTGGAGAGATGGACTTTTTGTTTTGTTCCGCTAATTGATACAATCTGCTGATAGCGTTGTAAATTTAATGTTTGAAGTGTATCCACAGATATACCCAACTTCTTTACATAATTTCTGGCAATGTTGTGTATTTCACTCAGCTGTGTCAAGTGTATGTCCTCTTAATGTCATGATCTTCAAATGTTTGCTCGCTGCCATACTGACGAGTTGTTCTGATGTCTTCAGCCTCAGGAGCAGTGAAGTGTCTTCATGGCAGTTCGTCGAGGACACATTAAGTACTTAAAAGTGAGTATGAAATCTCAGCTCCCGTTTCAAACAGCACTGCCCATATCAACTGAATGTCAGCCGTACAATCGGGTATTTTAGGTGGTTGAAATTGAATGCAGTTATACAGTAGCAAAGAATATGGTTGAAGGAAATGTAAATTGAAAGCACTAAGAGAAATCAAAAACACTCACACATGCCAGCTCCCACCAGCTATGCCCATGTTCACCAGTTTGATACAGAACTCTCATTCATTCTCTCAGGCAGAGTATTTTACCCACCAGAATACACAATCACAACCCTTCTCTTGCATGAATGGACCTCTGTCAGGTTGCCTTCCTTCAGACCGTTTCCCTTTCAGGACCGATCCCGTTACAGCCACCAGCAAATGTGTCCGCAATGACACGCTCTGCCAAACAGATAGCGGAAGTAAAGAATTCTGAACTCGGGCTCCACTCTTGTTGTGGGCACTTGGCATTGTTAACGAAACTAATTTCAGACCCTTCAGAGCGGTTATAAGACTAGACTTCAGACTGACTTGATTAAGGTCATTTTGGGGTAAAACGAGTTCCCTACTTTGCAAATGTAAAGCTTGTGTGTGTCCTTTTCTATTGCATGGAATTCCATTGATTACATTTCAAGCTGGCTTAGTGGATACTACTGCATTGAGACCAATTTACAGCTTGACTCCAGTCACATGTTTGAGTAATATAATCAGTTACCATTATGTGGCCTTTAAAGCTGTTAAGCCCCAGTTCTGTTTTGCATTGAAAACTGTAATTACACTGCATAGACATTCTTATGCCCTTTTTGACCAAAAGTACCAGGAATTATGCAACTTAACTGTTTGCAACTTTGCGTCTCCACTGCATTTAAAGAACCGTGACAGTGGAGATACTTTAGTATTTACTGTGTTGTGACACTGATGTTTGAGTTGGATGTAATGAATGAATGGGAAAGAGATACAGAGGTGGAAAAGGCTTTGGAAAGTACCGATCCAGGAGGAGGGACTTTATTGCACAGGAACTAAATTTAGTCCCTTAAGATATTTTATTAGATGTAGATTTCATTGCTTGTTTTATTCCACCAACAGGCAAATAGTGTTAGCTCTAGTTGTGCCCACCCTGTGTACTTATCCCACTTTGTGTTTTCCGGCCCACCTGGCCGAACTACAGGAGGTGTACGACATGTCGAACGGTTATGAAGACCTCATGGGAGGGGACGAGGGCAAGGACTCGAAGACCAACCTGATAGTGAACTACCTGCCTCAGAGCATGACGCAGGACGAGCTGCGGAGCCTCTTCAGCAGCATCGGAGAGGTGGAGTCCGCCAAGCTGATTCGAGACAAAGTCGCAGGTATGCTGCTCTCTGAAGCGATAAGACCTGTGACAGACCAGATGGACGTTTGTGTTACAGCCTCTGAATACATCAGTGGTGGTTTAGCTTTATGACTTAAGATAGTTTGGCCTTTCACTCATTTTCAAATGATCTTTATTGGAAGGATATCTACTGAAGGCCTCTTTTCTCCTTTTTCCTCAGTGATTTTTATAATGTCATTTTTATTTGAGAGATATCCCAAATTGATTTCCTGTTTGAGTTGGGTAGTAGTTTGCTCAGTTTTTTTCACCACCATTAGACTTGTTTTATTTATTCCAGTCGTGTAGACAGTCTATTTGTTTGTGTAGACTAGCATGCAATGTTAAGATTTAGTTTTTTGTTTTTAAATACTTATTTGTTTGCAGATTTTTTTGAACTATACAACGTTTTTTTGTTTTGTTTTATTGTTTTCCTTTTTTTTTCTCTAGGCCACAGTTTAGGGTACGGATTTGTTAACTATCTTACCCCTAGTGATGCAGACAGAGCTATCAGTACACTGAATGGACTAAGGCTACAGTCCAAAACTATCAAGGTAACGTGCAACAAGGTGTTCTACAATTCTCAAACCAAAGATGTCATGTCATATAACTCTTCTGTGGCTCCTGTGCTGTCCTCTAACTAGCTAGTACATGTCAGCCCGAGGAACAGCTCACTCACTTCCCTATCTGACATGTCTGTTGAGTCTCACTATCATTTGACTTATTTTATTTGACACATTCTGTCAAATTCAACATGTTCCATGTATTTAATTACCAAAAAAAAGTGCCCTTTTGATCAGTTTGCTTTCATTTTTTCGTTGCTGTAATGTTCTTTCATGCTTCTCATTTTGGAACAGACCAAAGATTTAATGCCTAAAACCAATCGGATCATTTTATTTAGTTTTTCTTTTAAAGTCCAACGTTTTAATAAATAGACAAAACTTTTCAGATGAATTAGTTGTAACTTATAAAACTCATATAATTGCCCGTGTACTGTAAATCTAAACAAAATGGCTAAAATGTCAACAGTTCAATAGATTGAAGTACTCGTTGTACTTTTAATAGTTTTTTTGTTACTTTGTTTTGTACGTGTGCATCAGTAGAGTTTTAATCGGGCAATTGTTGCTTCCTGTTGCTAGGTTTCATACGCTCGGCCCAGCTCTGATACAATAAAGGATGCCAACCTGTATATCAGCGGCCTGCCAAAGGCCATGACCCAGAAGGATGTGGAGGACATGTTTTCACATTATGGACAAATCATTAACTCCCGCGTACTTGTTGACCAGGCCACCGGTACAACAGGTAAATTGCTTCCTTATTTTACACAAATTCTCTTGAGTAACATATAGTTTATGCTGCTTGTATCACAACAGGCATTCACCCGCTGTTGTCTCGTATCCAGGTGCGTCCCGCGGCGTGGCCTTCATCAGGTTTGACAAGCGGGCCGAGGCAGAGGAGGCTGTCAAAAACCTGAATGGCCAAAAACCTCCCGGTGCCGCTGAGCCAATCACAGTGAAATTCGCCGCCAACCCGAACCAGGCGAAGAACACACAGATCATCTCTCAGCTCTACCACAACCAGTCCAGACGCTTCGGAGGGCCCGTACACCACCAGGCACAGCGCTTTAGGTGAGAGGAAGCCTGGTCTTACTTTAAGCCACACCTAGTTTCAAACAAGCAACATCATTAGTCACAGGATTAGTGCTTCTGATCAGAACTAGTTCATTGGGTTTGCCATTGGGTTGTTTTTTTCTCATGATGGCTAAGCACATCAGAGGCAGAACAACCTTGGAAACAAGTCTTTGAAACAGTTCGATGTATCAAAGTGCTGCCATGTACCACTGCTTGTGTCTATAACGTGTTTCTGGCTCTAGTAGAAACCGCACTGCTTGGTTTTCGCTGAAAAAGTTTTAATATATATCACAGAAGGAAATGAAGAAGAGCTAAAATGACAAGTTGATAAATTGTATAAATAACACATTTCCAGAGAGAGAGAACTGAATATATTTCTGTTATGGACATTTGAAGTTGTGATGGGAGACTTTTTGCTGTTTTGGACATTTTACAAACCAGTAGTAAGTTTAAAAAAAAATAAAAATAAGCATTTGTTTCATATAGCAGGTACATAACTGCTGTGACACTCATATTTAACTCGTATGCTGTCCATTTCTTCTGATCCTCCTTGAGATGGTTCTACTCCTTCATTGGAGTCCAGCTGTGTTTAATTAAACTGATTGGACTTGATTAGGAAAGGCACACACCTGTCTATATAAGACCTTACAGCTCACAGTGCATGTCAGAGCAAATGAGAATCATGAGGTCGAAGGAACTGCCCAAGGAGCTCAGAGACAGAATTGTGGCAAGGCACAGATCTGGCCAAGGTTACAAAAGAATTTCTGCAACACTCAAGGTTCCTAAGAGCACCGTGGCCTCCATAATCCTTAAATGGAAGAAGTTTGGGACGACCAGACCTGGCCGTCCAGCCAAACTGAGCAATCGTGGAAGAAGAGCCTTGGTGAGAGAGGTAAAGAAGAACCCAAAGATCACTGTGGCTGAGCTCCAGAGATGCAGTAGGGAGATGGGAGAAAGTTCCACAAAGTCAACTATCACTGCAGCCCTCCACCAGTCGGGGCTTTATGGCAGAGTGGCCCGACGGAAGCCTCTCCTCAGTGCAAGACATATGAAAGCCCGCATAGAGTTTGCCAAAAAACACATGAGGGACTCCCAGACTATGAGAAATAAGATTCTCTGGTCTGATGAGACCAAGATTGAACTTTTTGGCGTTAATTCTAAGCGGTATGTGTGGAGAAAACCAGGCACTGCTCATCACCTGCCCAATACAATCCCAACAGTGAAACATGGTGGTGGCAGCATCATGCTATGGGGGTGTTTTTCAGCTGCAGGGACAGGACGACTGGTTGCAATTGAAGGAAAGATGAATGCGGCCAAGTACAGAGATATCCTGGAAGAAAACCTCTTCCAGAGTCCTCTGGACGCCAGACTGGGCCGAAGGTTCACCTTCCAACAAGACAATGACCCTAAGCACACAGCTAAAATAACAAAGGAGTGGCTTCGGAACAACTCTGTGACCATTCTTGACTGGCCCAGCCAGAGCCCTGACCTAAACCCAATTGAGCATCTCTGGAGAGACCTGAAAATGGCTGTCCACCAACGTTCACCATCCAACCTGACGGAACTGGAGAGGATCTGCAAGGAAGAATGGCAGAGGATCCCCAAATCCAAGTGTGAAAAACTTGTTGCATCATTCCCAAGAAGACTCATGGCTGTACTAGCTCAAAAGGGTGCTTCTACTCAATACTGAGCAAAGGGTCTGAATACTTATGACCATGTGATATTTCAGTTTTTCTTTTTTAATAAATTTGCAAAAATTTCTACATTTGTTTTTTTCTGTCAAGATGGGGTACTGAGTGTACATTAATGAGAAATAAAATGAACTTTTTTGATTTTTAGCAAATGGCTGCAATGAAACAGAGTGAAACATTTAAAGGGGTCTGAATACTTTCCGTACCCACTGTATTATTGAAGAAACAGCTGTGGTGGTGACAGACGGTCCCTTCAGTTTCAGTGTTAATTGATTAAAGTACACAATCTCATTTCCAGGTTCTCCCCCATGGGCGTTGATCACATGAGTAGTGTGGGAAGCGTCAGTGCTCCCGGGAACTCCACCTCCGGCTGGTGCATCTTCGTCTACAACCTGGGCCAGGACGCAGACGAGAGCATCCTCTGGCAGATGTTTGGCCCCTTCGGCGCCGTCACCAACGTCAAGGTGATCCGCGACTTCAACACCAACAAGTGCAAGGGCTTCGGCTTCGTCACCATGCCCAACTACGAGGAGGCGGCCATGGCCATCGCCAGCCTCAACGGCTACCGGCTCGGAGACAAGATGCTGCAAGTGTCCTTTAAGACCAGCAAGGGCCACAAGTAGAGCGAGCCGGACAATCGGGTGTAGAGGAGAGATGGAAATGACCTGCGCCAGGCTTTTAGAGCAGAAGTATGGGTTTTTATAATCTAGCACATCTGTTTGGGTTTTAGTGTGTTCAGAGTTAAATGTTCACTCTTCTGCACCTTTGTACTTGTCTAAAAGAGTGTTTAGGCTGATCTTTTTTTTTTTTCTTCTTCATCATTATACTCATGCTTGAGGACACTCTGTAGTTTTAATTTTTAGTGAGGGGATGGAGAGGGTAAAATCCCATGATACCCCCAAGATAACTTTTTGAAAATTATCTAAAAAGCTAAACTACTGTCCGTATATGTTGCATGTATAACAGAGGGGACTTGGTAAAGAAGGGTTCTGAGCAGTGCACTAAAAGAAATGTGGAAAAGCCTCGCAAACAGTTGACACTTTTGTGGATGATTTGGTGTAAAGAAGGTGAGGACCAATATTTTTGGTTATTTTGGAAAAACAAGTGCTCTGTCCTGGATACTCATCATAAGTAGAAATAGATGCATTAAATGATCACCCAGTGGACACACACACACCTAAAGTACCACTCACCATCTCATGTCCATTTCAAAGTGAAGCACTTATTACCAGTCTGCTTGCGGTTACTATGAATATCCGTCTTTTTGATGTTAATCTATGACTTTTGCTCAAGCTCCTACCAGGTTACCAGTTTTAAGCATGACAAGCATTGGAGGTTTTTGTCTTATTATCCCTGTGTAAAGTGTCTTTTAATAAGTTGTATTTCAGGAGAGTCCTGTTGAATATGAACCCCAGTCAATGAGTAGGGAATTGAGATGGACCAAAGGCAGGGAGAGATGTGATCCTATTAGCACGGATGACTTTTCTGAGCAGATTTAAGGTAGATGAATACCTGTTTTTAAGAGGTACTAAGCTTACATCTGATACTGACTGAGAGCGACGTCACTTAACCTCGGTATGTGTTTCTGTTTTGTTTTTTTCTTTTCTTTTGAGTTAATATTTCTTTTCGTTTGGATCACTTTTGTTTCTTTCTGAGTAGATTTCTATTCATTACGATGTTGGTTACAAACTTGTTTTAACGAGTGCTTATCTCAAGTTTGGAGACTAATTCATGGCCTTTGTTAATGATTTCACTTTTGATTTGCTTTCTTTTCTTCCTTTCTTTTGTTTTGGTTGTTTCACTTTGAGCATAAACCATTAAATTTTATTTCTTTTTGCCGCAAGTTTTGTTTGGTTTATTTCTTTTTTTTTTTTTTTATTTACTTTTTCTAGATTTGGTTTGGAGTTTTGTTCTATTATTTTTCTAGAAGCAAATCTGCAGTGTTGATAGAAGATCCATGGAGGCTTTTGAATGTCTGAGGCCGGTGAAAAACTATACGGACCAATGTTGGCTGAAGAATATTTAACCTGTGCACAGACACTTGAAGGAATTGTCATAATTAATTGTTAATAAGTAATTGTCCTGAAGACATTTCATGAAGCGACTTTTCTAAGACTGCCAGATACATTTGAACCCCTGAAGAGGAACATTAGTAACATTTCTGAGTCGTCTTTTCAGTAGTTGTGAGTTGACGGCTCAATTTGATTTGTCGGCTCAAGTGTAGTTGTCTAAAGTGAAGCCACTTTTGTCGTGCATCAGCGACGCTCGATATCACGACGAATAAGAATAGTGTTAACGTAAAGATCCAGGCTTTTAGACCCGAGCCCATTGGTCTGATCTTTGTCTAATGGGGATTACTTTTTAACTAGTGAGGCTTTGTTTACGTGCTCAGTGAAACTCTTGTTATGTGACTCATTTAGAAAAGATCGTTGGCATATCACAGCTCATCTTTTAACAGCGGTTCACTTGGTAGATTTTTTTTGTTCTCCAAGGTGGTCGGTACCGTCACTGACCTTCATTTAACCTGACCACAAATAAGAACCACTTGGTGATAGTTACAAATATCAAATCAGTTTTGGTAACGGTGACTTTTCAGTTTCTAATATTGGCTCTCGCTTGTGTGGCCCCCCCTGAAAGCAGTACTCCCATTACACGGTTCAGATTTTGGTCTTAAAAGTGCTTTTTGATCTAGTAATTCCATTATTTTTGTGTCGCAATCTTTAACTGTGTGCAATATTTCAAGGCTTGCTTAAAGCAAGTAATAGAAAGTTTTTGTAGTGTTGGACTGTAATCTTTTTTTAAAATATAATTTCTATTTTCTACTGACGTTTTTATGTTACTGCTTAGTTTTTTCAGCAGTATAGTTGGAATTGCATGGAAGATGCAAGTGAATTTGTTTTAGGCGTAGTCAGATTTAACTGCATTCTGCCTTAATTTATAAGTGGGAATGGTGTATTTTACATCAGAGGAGGCGTAATTATTTATTTGACAATGTATGCGGTCATACTTGTTATTTGAGTGTTTTTATGGTTAATTTTGTTTTTGAAGGACACTAAGTTGAAGTCCATTAAATGTCTTCTAACATTGGATCATTTCAATAAAACACTTTGGCTTTTCAGAATTGGAAGAATTAAATGTCTCTTAAGAAGCTTATTGTGAATTTGCTGTATTTTATTGACAAATGTCAATGTGTTGCATATATTTCCTGTTTTACTCTTCGGCTTACCAAAAAGCTAACGCAAATGAAGTGAGGGAATACATCTTGTAACGTCATTGGCCTTCAGATCACATGATAAAGACCCAGTTATTACCATCTGAGACCAGATGGGGGAGACATGTCTGCATTTTCTCCTGCAACATATTTACTGTAATTGACACCACCATCAACACACGGTAGATTTTCTGCACCACTTCTAGTGGCTGCTTGCATTTACTTTCCACTGATTTAGTATGGAGGAGAAACTGCCCTCACGTCAATAGAAGATGAAAGAAGTGTTTTCCATCTTCAAGGTTATCAATAAGATGATAAGATGGCGTCAACCAAGTCTTTCAAATGTTTTGGAAAGAAAAGGGATTATTTAAATGCTGTTGTGGTTCCATCTTAAAAGATCGCACCATCAAAAAGGCAATGGGACTGACTAAGACCAGGAAACCGAAAGTGCAAAACTAACATTTCCAGGTTTTAGGACTCATCCCTGCAGCTCAACAAAGTGCTAAATTAAGTCAAGAATAAAAAACACCCATTGACAGGACTTGATGTACAGCAAGTTTTTATTAGAAAACAACACAAAATAAATTCAAAGCATGGGTATAAAAACACAAATGATCATCTTACTAGAATTATTCAAACATGTACTGTCGCTTAATATATATCCACCTTGTCATAACATAAAGGTTCACTTCAACAAAATTAATTTGCTCCTTGTCCTAGTTTGTGTTTACTTTCAAGTCTTTCCGGTTCTCCGAATTATCGTCAAAAACCAAGATCATGTTAAGGCAACTCAAAACCTTGACAGGCCTAACAGGCGTATGAATGTTTAAGTTTCACCGCTAACTAAGTCCATCTAATGCATGTCATTGCAACACTTAATTTCTTCAGCCGCATGCAGAGTGTCTATATAAGATTTAGGTTACATGTGAAACTTAATGCATTCCCTCCCAGTCAGAACTGAACGGAAACATACAATATATCAAGTAATGAAGTTTTTTGTTACCATGGCACGGGCAAAATCCAGTAAAGCCGCTAAACCCCCACAATTTACTCAAACTTTGGTCTCATTTAGAACAGAAACTTAGCAGGATGTTAACTAAACTGGACTTTTTTTTCAGGCCTCAGATGATGGTCCCTTTTATCCAAAGAGGTGAATCTGTGCGCGTTCGAAGGCAGTATCCCTTGATGTCCATCCCGTAAAAGTGTCTCAGACTTGGCAGAGGTTGTAGCAGGCCAAAGGTCTCTCCAGCATGTTTTCTCCATCCACCTCATACACATAATCGCACCGGTGTGTAATCAGAGGAGAGTCGGACATCGCCACGCTCTGATTGCCAAAGGAGATAACTGTGTCTCTCTGTCGGGAAGAAGTCACCAACAGTACAGTTAGTGAAGATAGATTGTTTTTTCTAGAATTACTGAACAAAAATGTATTAAAAATGGCTGAGGAAAAAAAAGTCCCCTATAATTAGCAGTAGTAGTAGTAGTAGTAGCAACATCCTATTCATTTTAGCATGCTAATGCTGTTTAGAACAGATGACAAAAAAGTACAGACTAAAGTGGTACAACAATTTGCAACCATGTTGATGTTTAAAAAGCCTAACATGCTAAACTAAGATTGTGAACATGGTAAACATACCTGCTAGCATCAATCAGCATGTTAGCTTTGTCATGAGTTTAGCATTTAGCTCTAAACGTTGTTGCCTCATAGAGCTGCTACCATCTTGTTTTCTTTGATTGTCTGTTTGATAGTTTCTGCATATTTAACACCATAGAGTAATACTTAAGATTTTAAATATATTTTTCAGGGGTTTCGAATGTGAACGTGCACTTTAACCTCAACAATTATTGTCCTCTTACTCGATTGGGGCCAGCTCCATTATTGGCATCAGCAGGAGTAGAAGTTGCAGCAGGAGGGGCTTCCTTCTCAAAGTCCTCCTTACATAAATGAGCCATAATCCCAGCAGCTAAGGCATCACCAAGAACATTGATCATCGTCCGGAACCGATCACTGCGAATGAGAGGAAAAAAATACTTTACACATTGCCCCAAGACCCACGTATGCTCTTTACAGTATGATCATGTTTGTGGGACTCACAGAACCCAATCGATGGCCACAATCAGTGAGATGTCAGCGGGCGGCAGCCCCACTGAGGTCAGGACAATAACCATGGTCACCAGACCGGCTTGAGGTATCCCAGCTGCCCCGATGCTGGCCGCTGTTGCCGTTATACTGATGAGACCAGAGCCGGGATGTTAGAGAGACAAAGAACGTATCATGTGGAAGGTTAATAACCTCAGTGATTAGTCTCACCTAATCGTGACCAGCTGGCCGAAGTCCAAGTCATACTCATTGACCTGAGCGATAAAGATGGCCGCCACGGCCTCGTACAGGGCTGTCCCATCCATGTTGATGGTAGCTCCCACTGGCAGCACGAAGCGAGCGATCTGCCGGTTCACTCCACAGTTCTCCAGGAGACACTTCATGGTGATGGGCAACGTGGCTGAGCTGAAAGGGAGAGAACAAGAGGACACGGTCGGGTTAGTTTAGTCCCAAATATGACCAATGAGAAATGGTAGGGTGTCCTTACAGTAGGCCCACATATGTTTAATATTTAAAAAGAGAGAACTAAGATGCTGGACTACATCTACCAATAATCATTAAAATACCTGTATCCTCTTACCTGGATGACGTGGCCAGTGCAATAACTAGAGCCTGCAGCAGCCCTCTGATGTAGGGGAAGGGGTTTTTGCGTGTGAAGAAGTAGTAGAAGAGAGGAAGCAGGATGAGGCCGTGCACAAACAAACCAGACAGGACTGTGATGAAGTACATGCCCAGCTTCTCTCCCAGGTGGGCCGGATCGTGCATATCCAGGATCTTCCCTGCCACGAGGAACACAATGCCGAAGGGGAAGTACCTGCATGGAGGAGGGAAGATAATCATTTATTGCACGTAAACCTTTTCAGCACAAACTCAAGACTCGTTGATGTGACAAATAAAACCGTTGATTTATTTTTTTAATGATACATATGACCTTTTAACTTGACAATGCGCACAAAACCGGGTTCTCAATGGAAGGTTTTCTGAGTTTGGTGTGGAAGAACTTTGACTGACCTGCCCTCAACCCCATCCAACACCTTTGGGATTAATTTGATCGCTGACTGTGAGCCTTGTCCGGCCTTTTTCCCAAGCATCAGTGCCAGACCTTGCTAATGCTCTCAAGGCTGAATGGGAGAAAATCCCTGCAGCCGTTCGCCAGAAGCTTGGAGGCTGTTATATCAGCAGAATAATGCCTTTGGAATGGGATGTCCAAAAATCACACGTGGGTGTAATGTTCAGGTGTCCAATTACTTTTGCCCATACAGTGTACGAGGCTATCCTAACTCATTTTGCACTAATTTGTACTTATACAGTTATCCGGCACTAATATATCTATTTGCTGAATTCACTTAAATGTAATCCAGTCGACTCATCAGCTCTAATGGGAAGCAGTAAGGACACTTGATTCTTCCCTGAGTAGCTGTGTGAGATTTATTTTTAGATATAATCCGGCTCTGCCGTGCGACGAACCGTGTTGTCTGTGACTCAATTTGTCTATTTGCGAAAGTGTGTGTGAGAGTGCCAACTTACCACATAGCAGCGTTAATAATCTTCATGACGCACTCGTTGATGCACTGGCACACGTTAACCAACGGCGCTCCTCGTTCTCCCATCTTCCCCAGCAGCAGTCCTGAGAACAGACGGTACAATCACAGGTGAGTTTGTAAGGTCTTACAAGTCACCTCTAACAAAGGGTTTATGATCACATAATTAATGGTCACGGCTACTTTATACTTATTTTATATATCATATATTGTGAATATTACATTTTTTTATACCACCTCAGTTATTTGAGAGCTGCTGTCACTATGTACTTTCCAGATTAAGTCGGCTATATTTTGCCGATAATACTTCAGTGTTTTGCAATGAAGTCAAGAATGAAAGCTGAAAAAATGGTACGCTTTTTTTAATCTACAAAAACGATTTATTGAAGTCAGCTTATCTTTCTAATTAAATAAAAAAGACAAAAAGTGTCGTGTTGGATAAACACCAGCCAGGGGGATTTTTAACAACAACAATGTTTTATGGCTTAAAATGTAAGGAATGTAATAATGTAATGTATGCTTTAAAATATCAATAAAGCCATTGTACCCTTTATAGAGGTTGACCTATTAGACAACAGTACCATCAGGATTATACTTAGATAAATAACTCTTTTCTGTGATATAATGAGCTGTGTGATTGTCTTACCCATGGTGGCCGAGAAGATGACAATCCCCAGTACGTTCATGCCCTTGCTGGTACTGGGGACGATTTTATACTTGACGTCGGGAGCAGGGGTGATCTCCAGGAAGACTGGGTGGCCCAGTTGAGGGTTGTGGTAGTCGGGCATGACATATACATGGTTGGCTTGAGAGTCTATCGTATCAGTGTTCTGTATAATAGGTACCAGCTCCGTTCGGTACTGGAGTTGGATGAAAAAGAACAACCACAGAGGTTTGTTTAATATCAGTACATATTGAACATGAATTAATGAACAGTAGTCCTACAATCCTTTGTAAGTTTCCTCCTTTCGTCCACTCACCTGCTGAAACGTTGCTTCAATCAGATTTGACGGGATCATGTTCCTATAAAAGACAATTTACAGACAAATAAATCATATGTCTGTACAGAAAGGTATTATTCAATAGTATGGTGTATGAATCATTTCAATAAACTCTCTGCATTCAATTTGGATATTTTCACTTCTATTCTTCAGTGCATATAAAGAGCTCAGGACTTTTGTAAATGTTTTTATATTGAGGGTCAATGTTGATTCCTGACCATGAAAGCAGACTTTCTGGTACTGTACTTAAGTACGAAGTAAGTACTTGTGCTTCATTGAATATTTCAATTTCATGCCACTTTTTACTTCTATTCCACTTCATTTAAGAGGAAATGTTTACTTCACTACTTTTATTCGAGTGCTGTAGTTACTAATTACTTTAAAACAAAAAAAAAACAAATTGTCTTATAACAATACAATGCATTGTTACAAATCAAACAACACAACTGTATATGAAATAGGGGCTCTTTGAGCAGTTGCAGCAGTAAAACACATGTTAATGTATCAGTAATACAATTTAATATACCACTTTCAAGGGACATTTATCTGCATGGACTACTTTCACTTTTGATACTTCGAATACATTTTGTGTGTATTTTTTACTTGGGTAACATTTTTAAAGCAGATATTTCTGTTATGTGATCAACATTTAATTAAGTAAATGAGCAGAATAATTCCTACACCACTGGCTGTTAAAATCTCAAATAAAAGCCGTGTCTCTAATAATGGCCGGGGGTGTCGTCGCCACAATAGGCTCGCCCCAAATACAGTTCAGGGGGGAAAAACAAAAAGAGTGGACAGACTCTTGGACATGTAGGAATGACGTATACACACGAAAACATGCAGAAGCCATTTCCCACACATAAACTGAGACTATAAAAGAAGACTGTGCAGTGAGAATGTGAAACCTCAGACATTCTTCAGACCATACACTTATCTAACAGAGGGAATCAGAAATATATCATCATAATATGTCAACAAAGTAAACTCCAACAAAACCAGGGGACACATGTTCACACAACACAGAGAGAGAGAGAGGCCTTCACATGCGGCTGGAAGGTGGACAGGGACATTGTGTACGTCAATGACACTGAACCCATGAAACAAGCTCATCAAATACGTAAGAGGACTCAAATGTACACTCGACCTTTGGCTCACAGGAAGAGACGCAGCTCACTAATAATAATCAGGTTTAACAAGAAGGCATTAGTGGATCTCTGACATGAATTGTCCCGCAGTAAGCCTGAGCTCACACACCAGACTGAAGTCTCTATCTTACACAGAGTAACATTGCACATGGACCTTCTGAGAAAGTGAAGGCTTAACAGATCACAATTAAGTCTTCCTGTTCTTAGCCAACCTGCTGCAAAAGAGTGAGAATGCAAATGTCTTTCAAGCACATTTTTTACCTTCTCTGTTTTCATTTATAATGCTGCAATGTTCCCCCTGCTCACGCAATGGTATAGATTCTGATTTGTGTTATGATTTGTAATAATCGATACAAATATGCTGCCATTTTATTATATATATAACAACTAACTACATTTTCAGAAAGCTTTACTCGCTGACAATTTCATGATTTCTGACTTTCCATTGTTTCGTTGTGAGAGCTCAACAGCTCCCAGGATTCCAACGCATCCTTTTAGATTTTGTGATTAGAGAGCATCTTGTTCCTAAGGAAGCACAGCAAGGTCACAAGGTTGGAACTGGATCTGTACTGGATGTAATTGGTCTGTACGGACTTCCGTCAGTCAGTAGAGGTGTTAGAGGGTATTGTCCAGCAAATCCCTGGAGTGGGATCATGTAGAATCTCCTGGAAAGCCTGTACTAAGAGGGGGCTTTTCTCCATCTTATGGAGGAAGTGAAGGTGGGAAATACTTTTTCCAGTCATCCGATCTTTTCCACAAACACGTCATTATGTCTTCTTATTGTTTCTAATGGGAAATCCGTTTAGGAACACAAAAGAAGAAGTTTAGGAAGAAAGCCTGATTTGGTTGCTCGTTTACTTGAATGTAAACGAGAAAATCGTCTGAACGATGACTGAAAGAGCAATGAACTTCTTACTTTTTAATTTGTTCATATAGCATTATCGACTATTTGATGGATTACTTTGCAATTCCGTACACATATTCATGGTGCCCAAAGGATGAATCCAAATGCCATTGATGATCTCCTGACCTTTCCTCAAACTAGTTTGTGTCCTGTTTCTCTGTGTACATTGTCATTGCGAGCATGTTAGCATGCTGACATTAGCATTTAGCTCAAAGCAATGCTGTGCCTATAATTACAGCCGTACAGAGCCACTAGCATGCCTGTAAACTCTTATTCATCATGGAAGGAGGAATTATAGTGAATCATGTCAGAGGTCAGGTACAATGTGGAGTAGTTGTGTTCTAAATCACATACTAACATAGTATTCATACTAAGTATAATTGAGTATATGTGGATATTGTGTACGGTAAGAAATACCTGGATGTATACTACATTAGCAAGCATTTTTAAGTATGAGACATGAGCTTACTGCACATACTCAACTGCCCCACAATGCATTGCGTCTGGGTGCCTTAAGACCGGTTGTCAGTCTTGTGAGATTTTGAGCCAGGGTAAAACCTGTCACTTTTTTCGATTTTTATAGGTTCGTTTTTATTTAAGTACCTGAAGTTTATCAGAATAACGCATGGTTGCAAATTTTCTGCGATCGTTTCTCAGAGATGTGAGAGCCACTGCCAGGTTGCCTTGAAACCAACCCCGTCGTCATTCTTGTGGGATTTTGAGCAGAGATAAAAGCTTCAGTTTTAACAAGCTTTCAGGTGATAAAGTAACCATTTAGATTCCCAATATGTGGTGAGTTTATCCAAATAATTCCAATTTGGAAGTTTGCCGCGATTGTTTTCAGAGATGTGATGCCTTGAAACCGGCCCGGCTGTTGCTTCGGCATATTTCAGTGTAAACAGTCACCTGGTTCAATCATTCTAAATCTTTTAATTAGTAGGAAGTATGCAATACCTACTGATTGAGGTTGTAGTATGCAATATGTTAATATGCAATTTCTTCAATAAGGTAAATGTTTGAATGGCAGAGTTCCCATCACTATCTGCACTTTGTCAAAGTGTGAATGTGTCTGCCAATATTCACCTGATGAGGTCCAGCAGAGCGTCAGCGGAGGTCATGACAGGCCCTGAACTTGAATGGTGGCCATCTTTCTCTGAGCCCGTCCCCGGATGGATGATGAGCACCAGTATGATGCCAACGATGACAGCGATGAAGGTCGTCCACAGGTAGTAGGTGATAGTCAGGACTCCCAGTCGACCGCTTGCCTTTGTGTCCATGGCTGACAGGCCTGACATAAGACTGGATGGGAGAACAAAAGGTGTCCGATTAATTCTGGTTTTAACTTTGAAATGTTCATTTTTTAACTAACTTCAAAACAATGTAATGTTTGAACTTATATTACGTCTTTGACAATGGAGCTTCAGATACAACATATTTTACAAATAATGCTCAATAAAACAATCAGTATACGTAAAAAGGAGTTCCAGGTGACAGGATGTGAAAATATACGTAAATACTGAGCATGAGAAGTTTTGTGTGATTGATGCTTAATCTTACAGTTGTAATAACATGAAAAAAAACGTCTACAGGGTAAGAGAAATTGTGACCGCTTATAACATAATACGGCAGCTGTTTTGCTGTTATATTTGAGTCTGGACCCACACAGGTGAGGACTTTTCTCACCTGGAGGTGATGAGCGGCAGAATCAACATCTTTAACATCCTCATCAGCAGTTCTCCAGGGAAGGAGAAGTAGATCTTAGCCTGTGCGAGAGAGTAACACCTGAAGCAAACCTTATTTCTAGGAGTGTAAACACCAAATTACATTGCTTTTGCTTACATTGAAATCCACCACAAAGCTCTTTTAACCCCAACGTCCACCAGCTAGTCGACAACTGTGTGATGTTTGATGCTGAGCAGGTAATGTACAGTGGGTATTTAAAGTGCTTTTTTTAAATGAAACCTTGCTGCAACAGAAAACGACGCTATGAAAGCAAAAATGCGATAAAAATTTACAAAGCTGAGAGAAAACTGCAGAGTCGGGGGACTCTTCTCTGTGGGTTCTTCAATACAAGCAATGTCTTTCTTCTGGTGCTCAAGTGAGCCAATGTTAATATATAATTATTGATTTATAGCAGCTTGAACTATTTCAGCACTTCCGACACCTCTGCTTCCTTGTTATACCCGATGCTCTGCTTGTCTCTGCTTCCTCTCTCACGATTACATGAGAGGCTTTAACAACTGAAGTGAACAGCTCACATCCTGAATATTGAGTTAATTTGCACACAGTGTTACAACTGCCAACACATTATATCAAGGTAATAATTTAAAAAATGGAAGTCTGTATGATACAAAGCTAGCCACATTGCCCCCTGTTCATTGTCTATCCATCCATACCTGTGTGGACAGGTTGAGCGACCTCAGGCCAAACCCAAGCACACAGCCCGTCACCACAGCTAAGACCGAGAGCGTCAGCAGGCCGTTCCTCTTGCAGTAGTCCTTCACGTACACCCTGACTTTCCACGAAAATGTTTTTTTCACCAACTTCTTCAACCATTCCATCATGATTCAGGTTCGGGCCGTATCCCAGCAGGCCCCCCCTCTCCTCCTCCCCTGGGTGAATGCAGATATCCGATTGAGTGAGTGAGTAGAACAGTAGGCCTATGTATCCCACAGGAATCCGAGGCGGAGGACAGCTAGTGGATCTGATCAAATGTGGGTCCTGTCTCTCACCGAGGAACTCCAGACTGAGAGGAAATGCTGACTAATTGATTCCTAGTGAAGCGTTGCATAAAAGGATTATCCCTATTCCATGCTTCTCCACAGCCACCAAGGCTAATTAAAGAGGCTTAACGCTGATTAGCTCCTCCTTTCATAGCTCATTATGAGTTATTACTACCCGCCAGCAAGTTATCCCATTCATGAAACAGGTGCTTGCTCTTTGACCTCTCTGATTTGCATTTAGCTGGACAAGACAAAAAAGACAATCTTTTGTTGACATGTATGTTCTGCATCCTCCAATAAATCTTGTTTTGGATACAAAAAAGACGAAACATTTTTGAAAAGAGTCATAAATGTGAAAAATCTAAACAAAATCAAAACGTTTTGTATTGTTTCTGTGATCACTGATATAGTTGTTGCTCTCTGAGAACATACGGATGGTGCATTTTGATTTCTACTGTGAGTAAGTGTAGGAGTTGCACTGTAAGGGCAGGATAACCAGAGGGCAGAGGCGAAACATAACACACCAGTATCAGTCTTCAGGGAAACGCCATGACACGTCCTTTGATCTTACCATGAGGTTACGCTGTATCGTCTTTTCAGGGATCCGGGGCCCTAACTTCAGGACTTGGCATTTTATTTGGCAAACAATGTCTTGTTGGCCCAGAGAAGCAGTCTCCAAGGAGCTTAAACACTGCAGGTTGATGAGAAGAAAATGTTTGCGCTCTGTGATAAGACCAGGGATCCCTGCCACGCTATCAAGGTGTATATTTTTGCTGTAATTTCAGCAGAATCAAACCTCTAAAAGGTGGAATTTAGGTCAGATTTATTCATATATGGTTGTAGATAATAAATAATCTGAAGGAATATTCAAACAACAAAAAGTGGGATATCAGCTACAGGACCAATAGAGCTGTTAGCAGAAATCATGGCATGCCATTGTTGATAGCTGCTCAAGTAGCTTCTATGTCTGTTTTCGCTTGTTGTTTGCATGACTTGTTAATTCTGTAGTCTGCTGCCGTCACAGCGTCCTTGCTGACCTGGGATCAGGTCCAAAGTTGACTCGCTCCTGTCCAACAATGTCTGGTCACCTGTAACAAATCCAATAACATGTAATCCTCGCAAGCAGGAAGTTCAACGAATGGTACAAAAGGGACACATGCAGTTAGAAACATTTGAATGTTTCTTTTTGAACTTTTTTCTCCTGCTAAATCTTAATTACCATCACCATAAACACGAAACTTAAACAAACAATCCCCCAAATCAACCAGCTGTAGTGGACGGCCACTACAGCTGGAGCAGCACCCTGAGCCTCCCTGCAAACCA